TGTTGCAGCAGAATATCGATCTCATTTGTAGAAACCGCAGAGATGACATCATCGACGAAACGTTTCCAAAACGATAGGGACACCGGAACAGAGGCTAAAGCTCTTTGTTCGACATCTTCCATTACTAAATTAGCAATTACTGCCGAAACTGGTGACCCCATCGCTGTTCCAAAAACCTGTTGATAATAACAGCCCTCAAACACAAAGTATGTGGCGTTGAGACAAAAAGACAGAAGATCAATAATATCTTCTACAGGCAAGGATGTTCTTTGTAACAAAGTGGCATCCTGTCTTAGTCTTTTTGCCGCAACCTTGATGGCAAGATCAACTGGGATATTTGTAAACAAGGAAACGACATCAAATGATACCAACACTTGATCTGCTTTAAGAGTTTTACCTCTTACAAATTCTGCAAAATGACAGGAATTTTTGACAGTGTTTTCGGTATTTCCCACCACAGGGGACAAAATTTTCGCCAAAAAACTTGAAACTCCATATGTAGGAGAATTCACAAAGGACACAATAGGTCTCAATGGAATTTCCGGTTTATGGATTTTCGGTAAGCCATAGAAACGCGGAGATAGTCCATCACTGCTGTATAACTTTTCATATGTAGCCTTGCTGATAATATTGGATTTCTTCAAAAGAAGTAACTTGGCGTTTAAACCTCTTTGAGTCTTTCCAGTAGGATCAGACTTGAGAATAGAATACGTATTTCTGTTATTCAATAGTGAAAGAGCCTTCTCGCGATAATCATGTTTGTCCATAACAACAACGCAATTGCCTTTGTCCGCTGAAAGAATAACCCTGTCCGGATCTTTTTTAAGAGCAAGTAAAGCTTTGAAAACATTCGAATCAATGTTTTTTGGAGGTATTTTGGCACGTCTAAGAATGCTACTGACCTCAGCTCTTACCAATCGCTTAGCATCATCGTCTAGCGGAGAAATTCCTTCCTCCACTGAAGCAATGATTTCGGCTATTGGAATTCTGTTAGGTACAACCGCAAATTTTAGGCCGTGTTCAAGACCCTTCCTTTCCAACTCACTTAGCTCTTTAGATGAGAGGTTTTTAACCCATCTCTTCTTAAGATTCGAACCTGATTTATCAGATGGTTTCGTTCCAATCAGACGCAGCAATTTTTTGTCATGCTTCTCTCTCTGTTTGATAGACTCTTTGCGAAATTGCGAACGACTCTTCGATCCATAGGACTTCAGAGCAGTCGATCAAATCAGAAAGCTCGCAGAGTAAACGTTGACAATCAGAGCGCAGACGCTGTATAGACTGATGACAATCGTTTATACTTAACCTCAGGAAAGAAAAAACAGTATTTTCCATTAGCTTGTATCCCTTTTTACTCCGCATTGGAGGTTTGAATCGCAAGCTGAACGGTAAAACTTTGTTTTCCTTGCACCGATGATTGAAATACAAATGACTACGATATTTGGCAATACGAATCTTCATGTTGACGAGCTTTCGAAGCCTCGAAACAACATTTTGACCATATTTTTCTTGTATAGATATAAAGTTTGTTGGTTCACTGGAACCAGGTATATCAATCATGTTTCGCTCGCTACTCTGGTTTAAATAAATGATTACAAAGCCCAGTCGAATTGTAATCAAGACCCAACGTTTCGACACTCCAGTCTAGTGTCTTCATCAGGGGTGATATCGGCGTGACCAGGGCGCTATAAAACACGGGCGGGGAAACGGCTATGGCGCCCCTGATCTATGTGTGATGCATGTCCCCCCCGCATATTTTGAGTTTTGATTTTTATAGTTTTATTCCATGCTTCGATTCGACCATGCATGCTTGTTTTGCCGCCTTCTTTTTAAAATTTCGATGTAAAAATTATGATTCGAGCTGAATTCACAATCGATCTTGGGGTATGTGCTATCAGAACTCAGAAGACGAAAGATTCTTTCAGGATTCTTAACCATGGCGAGGAGCAGGGTGTTAGCCAGGATTTCAAAAGTGGCCGTGAAAAATAATTTTGTGGGCGTGGTCACATATTTTTGGGTATGGCCGCAATTTTTTATTGTTGTGGAATTGTGGTGTTCTATCCGTTGAACCTTTTTACTTTTAGTTTTAGATGCACATTTCAGTTATTCATAGTAAAAGCACACATATGGTATGAACCGTATATGATCACTACGATGTACAGTATATAATGAGAACACAACACAGCAGTGTAGTGTTTAGTTAATCGCCGATATATTCCCCCTTTTTTATGTGTTTGGCTCATTTTAAAGCCATCTTCACCGTAACTGTAACTATAAAGCATGTGGCGCTCGAGCGATAAAGCGATTGCTGTTTTTTAAAAACGGCGGTTTCAAATTATTCTCCTTGATACTTCATGAAAGAATCATCAACATGGTTACAGAAACATGGCGTTTGTCGGTACTTCAATTCAGCCGTATTCAACGGGATTTCGAGGGGGAAAAGTACGAAAACATATACCATAAGTAAACAGCAGATGACAACAATTCGAAGTATTCAAGAAATATTACAAAGCCTGTAAATTGCTATTTAAAGAAAATATTCCCTTAGCTTAGGCCGTCCATGGCCGTCCACTAAAATTTAGGCGTCCGAATTCAGAAGTGGCCGTCCATAGGACGGTCGGACGGCCGCCTGGCTAACACCCTGGCGAGGAGGAATGTTGGGTTTCGAGGTGATCAGGATTTTTTTTCAAAACAACTGCGTTCGTGTCATCGTGTGTATGTTTATTATATAAGATGAAAATATAGATATAATACAAAGTTTTTAACGCCTGTTGTCCTAAAATGTGCAACTGGGATGTGTGTTTGGAAATCAGGTATGTTTAATACATGTGTTTTTGAAATTTTCGGGGCATCTGGTCTTGCGTGTTCGACCAGGTAAAACATCATGAAGACACAGCAAGGCCTTTTAATATCAAAAACGTTTTCTTGCATGTTTATAATAATCACTGTCAGTATTCTTTTTTGAAAATTAATCTAAATTTGAACTTTTCTTTTTGCAACCGCTTTGTGTTCATATCGGATGAAAAATCGCATATCCCGCAGTCCTTCGGCTTCGTTTTCGTGTTTTTAAAATCTGACTCGCCGTGAAACAAGCTGAAACAACTATGTTTAAATTAAACAAAAAAGCCAGTTTTCTGTCACTTTAAAATCATGGATGTATTACTAACTTAATTTTTATCTGGGAAAATTTTAGGGCAGCCATTTCCACCTAGGGAAAAAGATATAAACTATTTCGCGTTTTGTTTCATGACCGAATTATAGAGTTTCAATATGGCTTTGTCTTCGTGTTTTTGCAATCTGACTCCCATGAAACAAGCTGAAAAACTGTGCCGGTTTAAACAAAAAAGCCGGTTTTCTGTTACTGTAAAATGAATGTATTATAACTTAATTCTTATCTGTGCAAATTTTAGGGCATGTTTTCCACATATTGAAAACGATATAAACTATTTCGCGTCTTGTTTCATGACCGAATTACTATCTTGTACAATTATGCAATTACAATTACAATTACAATTTATTCAAAAACCGATCTTGCAGCCAAGAGGCTGAATTACAACGGTTAAATTTTACAAAAGAAAAGTTTAAGTTAATTATACTATCTATTACTGATTAAAAATACTAAACATAATAAAAATAATTGTAACTTTAAGTTAATGGGACTGTCTATTTCAATTAATAATACTGTCTACTAATGTATTTAAGAATATATAATTACAGTTAAAATTAACAGTTATTTTCGAAATATATAAAATCCTCAGCGACTGCTGCTTTCATTATTAGAACTAGCAGCAATTATAAAAGACTTTTTAAATCGTTCAGTCTTACATTTAGGAATTTTTAAAAGTTCTCGAAGTTCTCAGGGAATACGCTACGTCAGTATTCGGGTCTGGTAGGAGTGGGTGCAATTTGTGATTTTTATCTTCCATTATTTCTTTGAAGAGTTTGTCGCACGCAATTTGACGTCTCTCTTCAAGAGTTAGAAGCTTAGAATGGGAGAGCGCTTCGGCATATGATTTGGTGGGAAATATGATTTTCATGGCTCGTCGCTGAATTCGTTCAATGTCTTTACACAGATATATGGGAATTCCATAATGAAAGACAGGAGATGCGTATTCGACAACTGGTCGGATACAAGTGCAGTAGAAACACATCGTCTCAGTGGTAGATACTTTGGCACGTTTCAATTGTCGCAAAAAGTACAATCTCTTGGATGCCTTTTTAACAATATTATCAATATGACTATTCCACTTAAGGTCGCTGCTGATAGTCAAACCCAAAACTTTACTTTGGAAGACCAAGTCTACCTGTTTACCGTTGATTTCTCTAGGGGAGGCTGCTGGTAATTAGTGTTGTATCTGATAAATTGTATTCGCATCTCTTTACATTTGTCCTCGTTGAGGGTAAATTTCAGGGTGTTAGATTGGTTTTGGATGTCATCGACCTCAGATTGAATATTACTATCCCCTCCTCTGGGTATTACCTCGGCTAAAGCCGTATCGTCTACGTATTTCCAGAGGTTGTTACTGACTGTGTTGAGGTCATTGATCATAAGAATATATAACCAAGGACCGAGTTTGGTTCTCTGGGGTACACCTGCCGGGACTAGGGACCATTCTGAATAGCAGTCATTGGCCAACTTTACTCTTTGTTGACGATTTGTCAAAAAATCTCTTACCCAATTTATAACAGTCGGCGGAACGTCCAGAGAGTGGAACTTTACCATAAGTAACTGATGATCGATGAGATCAAATGCTTTCCTAAAGTCCAATAGAACAAGTCTAACTAAGGCCCGTTGCCATCAGTGGCTTTAGCAACATTGTGGACTATGCTAATAAGAGCTTGCGTGGTAGATGATTTCGGCACTGTTCCATATTGGTTATAGGATCCACCACTTTGAGAATCGCCGGTTTAATGAACTGTTCAACTACCACTTCCTCGGCGAGTTTTGAGACTATTGGTGTTAACGAAATGGACCTTAAATCCTTGTTTACAGTTCGTACAGGCTTCTGTCTTCTGTAATGGGAATTACATCTGCCAACTCCCAAGCAGCGGGTAAACGATTTCCGAGATAAGAAGAATTGAGAATCTTGCACACGGAACTTGCTAGTACATCGGCATTCTCTTTGAGAAGCCAACCAGGAATGTGTCTGGGCCATGAGCCTTCGTAGGTACAATACTGGATAATTTCTCGAAAATATACGATTCTGTGGTGGTAATTGTAGATGGTAATTGGTTATTAGTGCCGGACACGTTTAAGGCTTGGGAGTGGTCAGAATTTAGAGGTTGGAACATGTTCATTGGTTCTAGGAAGGTTTGATTTATGGTATTCGCCAAGTGTGAAGGAGATGCGTTGCCTTCGTTGGTTTCATTAGTTTCATCACCAGTGGATGACAGGCTTTGAAGATGTCGGAGATCATACTTGTGGTTGACTGGATCCATTCCACACAGCTACTTAACAGGTTTCCACCACTGTTTGGGATCAGAGGCTTTAAGTTGACTGACTTTTGAGTCATTGTGTATGTCTATATCAACTGCTTTGTCTTCGTGTTTTTGAGTCTGACTCCCCATGAAACAAGTTGGAAAAAACTCCGTTAAACAAAAAAGCCTGTTTTCTATTAGTTTAAGATGGACACATTATAACTTGACCATGCATGTCATGTACAAACTTTAGAGCAACTTTTCCACCTAGAGAAAAATATATAGATCAAATTATGTTCAAGATGGCTTCATTGTCTTCGTAGTTTTGAATATTACACGGCTAAAACAAGCTTGAAAAACTCTGTTTAAATAAAAAGGCCAGTTTTATGTTAGTTTAATTTGGGTGCATTATAACTTAATTTTTATTTGTGTAATTTTTTATGGCAAGTTTTCCACCTATGGAAAAAGATACACACTGTTTCCGTGCTTTGTTTCGTGGCCAATATATGTTCAAGTTGGCTGCATTTCCTTCGACTTCGCGTTGGCTTTCTGTTTTTGAATATCACACGGCTAAAAGAAGCTCGAAAAACTGCATTTAAACAAAAAAGCCGGTTTCCTATAATTTGACCTTGTAATCGGTACAAATTTAAACGCATATAAGGCATGAGTGTGAAATGTTTTGCCTATCGCTTGCTTACTCTTGTCAAGTTTAGTTCCATTTTAAACGCTTTTTTGTTCAGATATAGAAGAAATACCAACATTGCAATATTTTAAATCTCAAACTTTTAAAATACTGGTCCTAGATATGATATTTTGCGTTCAATTCGGACACTACTTTGTTGTGCATTTGCAATATATATTGTTTTTGTTAATATGTTGTTTTAAATTTGCAAGTCTTTCTTCCCGGCTGGGCGAGAGAACAGAGAAGTCCAGTATAGGTTGTCGAAAACATTAAATATAGCAAAAAGTTCAAAACAGTCCATTCGCTCACTATATGTATTAGAATGGTCATTAAATGGCGAAGAGGATTGATGATTTCGAAATAACTTTTGCCAACTTACCCATGGCGAAATGCCTTTTTTAAAGCCAAAATGCGCTCTTTCAAACTCGAAAATTTTGATGTAAAAAAATTACACTTGCGACAGAAAAAATGGGAATATATTTTAGTTTACTCATTTTTGTCGATAATTAATACGAGACGTTTATTGTCTATTATTTAGCATTATGATGCTATAAATTTAATTTAAAAAAGCAATTCTTATCTCTTGTATAAGGATGCTTTCCTATAAAACTTTCTTTAAATTTTTCTGCCATTTCTCGTTCCTTTTTTCTTTTCATCCTTTTTTTTTTCTTTTCCATCCGCATCACACATGGATCAGCGCGCTATCCGCGCGTTTCCCCGGCCGTGTTTTACAGCGCCCTGGCGTGACACAATTTGCCGCGTGTTTCCTCTCTGTATATCTCATCTCTGTGCCGCGGACTCTTGCCTGTCGCCATATTTCATGTTTGCAAATATTCAAATCAGTTTATTTTGCTTCTTCATCGCCGAAATATTTGAATATTTATTACTTCTCAACGCAGGAATACTTAAAGATTAAATCAAGCAAGGTATGTACTACATCAATTGCTATTTATTTCCCCAGGATAGATAGATAGATATTTATTTGCCCACAAAACTATATATACATAAATATATATATATATATATATATATATATATATATATATATATATATATATATATATATATATATATATATATATATATATATATATTTATATCTTAAAATTAATTATTGCTACTCAAGTTTCACGCCTTATTCAAGACGATCTTCAGGCAATTAATTCAGTTAGTGTTTGATTCGTCAATATCAACGGTCGCTCGCTGACGTGGAGGTTGACATAGACAAACCGGTGACGATAGACAAATATATATATATATATATATATATATATATATATATATATATATATATATATATATATATATATATATATATATATATATATATATATATATATATATATATATATATATATATATAACTACAGACGGTACCGCCGTTTCGGCCTAATGGGCCTCATCAGTGTAGTGCTGATGAGCAGGATGAAAGTAACTCTTATTTATAGTTACCTTTGATGCCTCACGATTGTGGGACATCAAAAACATGCCAGAGCGCTCAAACTGCAAGCAGTGAGCGTGCGCAATGCGTAAGCGGCATGGCTCATCCTGTAGAGCGCTCAATATGACCTAAAGGCCATAGAGCGATATCTAACTACAGACGGTACCGTTTCGGCCTAATGGGCCTCATCAGTGTAGTGCTGATGAGCAGGATGAAAGTAACTCTTATATTATATATATATATATATATATATATATATATATATATATATATATATATATATATATATATATATATATATATATATATATATATATATATATATATATATATATATATATATATATATATATATATATATACAAAGCATATGAGAATATAATAATATAAAGGGCCAGGGACCTTTGGAAATCCAGTTGGACTTTTACGTAAGGCCCTTATTTTTCAATAACCATGAATAAAGAGCAATATACTATTTACAAACAGAAATAATAGTGAAAAGACAAAAGAGATAATTATAGTTCAGAGTAATTTACAATATTTACATCAATCAGATACTAAATAATATAATTTTGCTTTATTCTTAAAAGAGAGATAGGCTATGAATTGATATCTTCATTAATACTATTCCATAGAGAGACGCCTTTGTTGAAGACAGTATATATTTGCGGTAATTAGTTCTTTTGTAGCTAACGCGTAACTAGGTGGAATTACGTGTATTATAGCTGTGAAATTCATTATTTTGCTTAAAGTAATTACTATAGAAGTCTGGTGAATTTCGACAATAATTAAAACGATACATGAATATACTACATAGATAGTCATTAATTTTGTAGATATTCAGAATTTTCAAGTATAAAAATGATGGTTCGGAGTGATCCGTATAAGATTTGAAGCAAATCAATCGAACAATTTTCTTTTGGACATTCATTAACTTTTGCAATCTTGTGGGATATGTATTTACCCAAATTAGATTTCCGTACGTGAGGTATGGATAAGCTAATGCATAGTAAATTAATTTTAATTAAGGTGTTTCTATTCGTAAAATGTCTTAATTTTGCAATCAGACCTGTAGATTTCATAACGCTTTGGAGAACTGAGCTGATGTGGTTCTTCCAAGTCAAATTTTGGTCAATTATAACACCTAAGAACCTTATAAGTAGGACTTGCTTAAGGAAATCATTATTTATTTTCAATGTGACTTCCGTATTCAATAAGTTATTTTTTGATTTAAAAGTTACAAATTTAGTTTTAGAAGAGTTAATCGATAATTTACTTGCATTGAGCCATTTCACTACTTTGTTAATTTCATTCTGCATAGTACTAGATAAAGTTTTCAAGCACGAGTTTGAATAGAAAGCATTCGTATCATCTGCATATAATACAAAAGAAAGAATATCAATACAGTTTTCGATGTCGTTTATATATAAAAGAAATAGCAATGAACCAAGAATTGAACCCTGTGGGACTCTTGTAGTAACATTCATTTCAATTGACCTATGATGTTTAAATTTCACTATTTGAGTTTGTCCATGCATATAGTCCTTAAACCATTCAAGACAAATTCCCCTTATTCCATAATGTTGTAGCTTTTTAAAAAGAATTTCAAAGTTGACTGTATCAAAAGCTTTGGAAAGGTCAAGGAAAACACCCATTGTGTATTTTCCTTCATCCATTGCATTAGAAATTTTATCGGTTAGTTCTAGAATGGCATGTTCAGTAGATCTATTTCTGCGAAATCCATACTGATGTTTAGTTAGCAGGGCCGCCCAGAGGTTGGCGGGGGCCCGGGGCAAATTTTTTTAGGGGCCCCGATCTAAAAAAATTTTCCCGGAAATATTTTTTTCCGGAGAAAAAAAATTTTCGGTCAGTGTACCATTTTAGGGGTAAAAAATGTTTTCCGGAGTGCAAAATTTTTCCGGACGAGTACGTTGCAATTGCTTTCGAGGGACTTTATCTCATTTTTTTTTATGCCAAAATTCGGTACTTAGCCCAAGAAAACAGATATCTTGTCCTTTGCGCGGAAATATTTAACACACAAAAAAGGCTGCGGCCCAACAAAAATTTTTCAGGGGCCCCCAACAACTCGGGGCCCGGGGCAATTTGCCCCCCCCCCTGCCCCCCCTCTGGGCGGTCCTGTTAGTTAGTATTTTTTGTTTTTCGACATAATTGTGTAGTCGTTTATACATAAGTTTCTCAAGTAATTTTGAAAAACAAGTCAAAACCGAAATCGGTCAATAGTTCTCGAAAAGATTACTCTCATTCGCTTTAAAAATATGTGTAACCAAAGCAATTTTTAGAAATTTTGGAATCTTCCCTGTAAGGAAGGTTAAATTATAGACGTAAGTTAGAGGTTTAAGTATTTCAGAGTTTATTGCTTTTATCATTTTTGCATTTATTTCATCGCGACCTGCACTTTTATTTTCATTTAAATTAATAATTTCATTTAGCAATTCATTTTCGGTTACAGATAGATAGATAGATAGATAGATAGATAGATAGATAGATAGATAGATAGATAGATAGATAGATAGATTGATTGATAGAATAATAGATTTTACATGGCAGCCGAATTGGCTGAATTGCGTAAAATTAACAAAACTTACATATGTAAGTTAAAAAAAACACATGCACAATTACATATTACTGAATGTAATAGTATTACATATTATATTATATTAGCGCAAATTCAGATATGTCCGACACCACCACCACCGCTAAAATAGAGATCAACCAAAGTTGTAAGCACAACTAAAAAAAACCCAAAACATGCATAAAAGCAAATGGTTGACGCGAGGCAGCGGCAATGGTGGTGGAAGTCATATCAAAACCCCACCAATATCCTTTTAAACTACTCCTTTGACATAGAAACGACAAAGGTATTCCTAAAACGATTTGTTCGTGTGG